ATTACTATTAGCTAATTTATATGGCTCAAACAGCAAACAGTGATGTGGCTTGGATTCGACAGCGTTTGATATCAAAAGCTACGTCGGCGAGTTCGGAATCCTTGTTATTGCAACCAGAAATGTGGACAATATTATGCGGGCCATTCATATTGGATTTCGTGAACATAGTGCTCGCTTGTTCATCCTTAATTCTTGATGATAGGTGCGAGGAGTAGACACAATCTGTGAACGCAACGTCCTTTGGATTGAGCTGGTACAAATTAATGTGGGAACCCGATTTTTTTTGAAATAGTTGCGCATTGAACCTATCTTGTCCAGACCTTACACGAATGTATTTTCGAAAACTCCGGTGGCATATCTTGCTTGAGAATTTCGCCACGGCCAGGTCACAGACTTGTATACTCCAAAGCAGTGCAACATTTCGGCAATTTTGTATTTTCTGGTTGAAGAAAAAGTCGTCCATTCAGGGATGTTCTAAACGGTCGGCGCTTATTAACTGATCACACCTGGTCCCACTGGGGGACATCTTCAATAATCAAAACGTGAAGAGCTGATTGGCTCGACCTCTAAGTTGTTCGTCTGGTGATTAGCAGCTACATTCAGGCTAACGAATGAGGTTGTTTTGAGAAGATTTCTGCTAATAGTAAGCCGACTGATCAATTTTGCATGATGGTGCTGCCTTTTCCCGAAAAGCCTACTTGACTAAAATTGTTGATCATTCTAGTTGCTTCCTCTTTTGAGTTCATAACCTGGTTGCAGAACACTCAACGTGATCAAGCTGATGCCGACAGCAATATGTCATCTTTAAAAGCGATGCATATGCAGAGGCATTTTCTCAAGCCAATCAGTCGTGCGAGATAATGACCGTCGACCGTAATCATTTGCGTGACCCTCCTTCGGAAGTTCCCGATACTAACGTGTCCGATGTTTGCAGCCTTGTTTCAAATACTGTTTTCAATTTCGCATGGATTTGGTATTTCCAAGCTAGCTTTATTTATGTAATTATTTGCTTCATGCAATTTCATTCCGTTGACTGATGCGACAAGTACTTGCGTCAATGCCCAACCTCATGTTGATTTAATCGGACAACTTTAGAAATCCTGGCCAGCTAGAGGTGGGTTGCTGGATTTTTTTTGGAGAGCAGTTGACCATCCAAAGAGAGTTTGGGCTGGGGAGAGGGACTAACCATCCCACTCCGTACACAAACAAAACGGGGCATTCTATAGTGAACATTTATTTTGGAAACGAAGCATCTAACACTACGGATTGCAATTAAATTGCTGCGCGATAAATACTAAACAGGATTACGGATTCGTCTGAGTTACGCGCAGAAGAATATGCTGTAGGGTCAAGAAAAGTGAATGGAGGAAGTTGAATAGTTTGGGATAAGCTACACAATCGCACCGTTTAGTTACGTTCTACGATGGTTGTTTAGAAGACACAAATGTCCCAGAATCTTCATTTGATAACCAATGGACAGGTCAGCTTACTGCACCGAATGTGGGTCGCAGAGAACGAATTAGTTTGCACTGTTGCATGGCGACGGGCTAAGCTTTAAGAGCCCTGTGAAAAAGTCCATATATTTGGGAGTTTCTAATGAGCTTAAACCTGGATATTTCCAAACTGGAATTTGCCGAAGTCGCGGTGACTTAGATGAGTAATGTTATACTTGCAGGTCGAAGACTTTGTTGATACTGCTGCATCCCCGATGATTCTGCGAAATTTTTGAAGATCTTGAGCAAATGGCTTGCAAAATAATAGTAAGAAGCAATAAAATTACGCCTCGAAGGTGCTTCGTTTCCAGGAATTCCCGGATATGGTTGCCAGGAACATGTGTAACTTTCCTGAGAAATCTGACGGCAAAACACGCCCCTCATCATCTGGAATGAATTACCTATAATATATTACCAACTTTTCGGCACTTCTCTTGTTTAATGCCGTCTGTAGATGTAAAATGTAGAATATATGGCATTGCAGAATGCATCGCGGATAGAAAACGGGTGAAGACAATCTATCTCAAGAACCATCAGTGTAACCACCAGAAAGAGACATGTCATCCGGTTGCAAGGGCAACATTAGAGTTTATGGTCGGTTATGATCGAACGGTAGCCATTCCCGAATACTGGGCCCAATTGCCAGGAAAAGAAGAGACTCTCCTTTACGCGGTGTATTCCCTCCAGAGCACTGTCAATGCGGTAGGTCTGGAAAAGCTAAAATCTGGATTGCGACAAACATTCAATGCTCTCCTATATTTAATCAAACCCTCTTCAATAAAATGAAACTGACGCTTTGGTACTCCTGTGATTTTATTTGCATATTGCTGTGAAAGCACCAGTAATTCGTTCAATGAATTTTATGTAAACATTTGTTTCCCCAACTTATCACAAATTTGGCAAAAGCCCCATGAAGTGATCCTTTCAAACTAAAGAGACATTTCGGGACAGGGTTGCGGTGGTGGTTTGGGAACTCGTTCATCTTCAATACGTTCCCTTTGGACGATTGTTCAAAAATCCGTTGCGTAAAATTACGCGGCAAAAATAAGTTTGCCAAAGCGTAGCTGCCTGTCATGACGTAGATCTTTCCCAGTCGAAAGTAGGCGATGATTGTTCACACTGGCTAATAATTTTAGAATTGTAGTTGTCGCATTGGACAGTCAGGGAATCCGTCACAATGTTTTGATGGATAACTTGAGCAGCTGAAATTACTATGACGAATGAAAAGCCAACCCATATATTCCTATGAACCGATTGCTTGCCGGCTGGAAAAACGGTAATCAACGTAATTCAAAGCATAAATTTTCTGACCATTTACACACTTACCACGTGCGATTCAACGAACACCAGCCAATAGATACCTGGAAAGATGAGCGATTATTAGGAAACCACCAAAGATTTGCAATTTTCGCCACATTCATAGGAGACACCTGATAGATAAACTATGCTAAACTATTCATTTTTTCAGCATATTTTGAGTGAAAATAAGCATGGCAGTCGGGAGCACATTTATGGTGTAGAAAATACAGGAAAATACTACCCAGACATACACAGCCTGAGATTTGTTGTCCTAGGTTTCATTCAATCACCAGTGGACACGTAGGCTTGTGTTCCCCAATAGGATCCAGCTTGTCACAGACATGGTTATACTTTCTTATGTCAGCGATCTTCATGCATGTACTAGGCGTGTTTATTTTGTTTAGATGGCCTAAGGGATAGATGAATACGACATGACATCCATCAAACCATCATGCGGATTCGGACAAGCTGGATCACAAAGAAACTACCCCGGAAGACAACTAACAGACTGGCCCATATAGGGTCTCCACGGGTATGTTTCTTGACGGCAACGGTTGTTTTGGTCGCCGCAATGCTCATACTGCACACGTACTGTTCTCAGCAACCCACTACGTTTGAAAAGAAGAAAACCGCAGTTCGCGTGCATGCCTCTATTTGCGAGTAGCTGCAACTTTACACAATTGAAACGACTGGATGCGGCTGATCCGTAATAACGCTGCAAATTGTACGCCTACACGTAGGTGAGATTTTTTTGGTCGTTAGTGTACGTAAATTTTGCTATTTCTCGATTTGTCTTCCGTATTAAGTCTGCTTGCCAGTCCCTGTTCCCAATGACAGGGATTCACTGGAATTTTGTATCCCTCAGTGTTAAGGAAACTTATTATGGGAATGAAACCAGATGAAATCAGAACACAAGCATTAGAAAGAGCTTGACCGGCTAGTGACATGTGATTGTCCAATCATAGACTATGTGATGGGTCAGCTGGTGGCCACGTTTACGGAATCCACGTGAAAACACAGGTTCTTATATTTACCGTGGATTCGGAGGCTCATTCTTGATATCGTTGTAAGGAGGTGATTGCAGGAATGTCACAGGCAATTTAAGGCCTAACTTGGAGCACCTGTACAAGTGAAGTCCATGAGGATCGAAATCTGGTGACACTAAAATTGGTCTGCATTCATCTACGGAAATTTGCATCCAACGTCATGGCAACATTCACTGGGGAATGCTGATTCTCTCACTGAATGAAAAGTTAAGCGAGACCTTTGTTGGTAGGTTGACCAGTTGAAGATAACTTGGTCGGGTCACACACCGTAAACAAAGTGCCATCCCTAAATTTTATTTGCGCTCTCTCGTTGCGATACAGGAAAGTTCAACAGGATAAAGCTCATTCAGGGTAGCTGAATAACAGGTACGTTGAAGGATAGGAAATTTGAAAGTTGATTGTGGTAAATTTGGTTGCACGATGATGGACCTGAGTTTGCTACTTGCAATCGCTACAGATTAAGCTACGATCAACTCGTCTTAGCGTATTGGTAACCAAAGGAAGGATTGCTGAAGCACGGTTCAACAGTTTATCGATGGGGTTTTGGCGTGTGCTTTAAACGAAGGCGTTTAATTTGCTTTCTAGTTAGCAGTTTGTCAGTGCTAAAGGTCATACTTGACAACCGAGGATATTAGCAGTCAAACCCAGCAATACATTTAGCCAGAAACTGTGTACATTTGTTTTAAGTGGTGCGAAAATTATGGTGTTGTCATTACTATTAGCTAATTTATATGGCTCAAACAGCAAACAGTGATGTGGCTTGGATTCGACAGCGTTTGATATCAAAAGCTACGTCGGCGAGTTCGGAATCCTTGTTATTGCAACCAGAAATGTGGACAATATTATGCGGACCATTCATATTGGATTTCGTGAACATAGTGCTCGCTTGTTCATCCTTAATTCTTGATGATAGGTGCGAGGAGTAGACACAATCTGTGAACGCAACGTCCTTTGGATTGAGCTGGTACAAATTAATGTGGGAACCCGATTTTTTTTGAAATAGTTGCGCATTGAACCTATCTTGTCCAGACCTTACACGAATGTATTTTCGAAAACTCCGGTGGCATATCTTGCTTGAGAATTTCGCCACGGCCAGGTCACAGACTTGTATACTCCAAAGCAGTGCAACATTTCGGCAATTTTGTATTTTCTGGTTGAAGAAAAAGTCGTCCATTCAGGGATGTTCTAAACGGTCGGCGCTTATTAACTGATCACACCTGGTCCCACTGGGGGACATCTTCAATAATCAAAACGTGAAGAGCTGATTGGCTCGACCTCTAAGTTGTTCGTCTGGTGATTAGCAGCTACATTCAGGCTAACGAATGAGGTTGTTTTGAGAAGATTTCTGCTAATAGTAAGCCGACTGATCAATTTTGCATGATGGTGCTGCCTTTTCCCGAAAAGCCTACTTGACTAAAATTGTTGATCATTCTAGTTGCTTCCTCTTTTGAGTTCATAACCTGGTTGCAGAACACTCAACGTGATCAAGCTGATGCCGACAGCAATATGTCATCTTTAAAAGCGATGCATATGCAGAGGCATTTTCTCAAGCCAATCAGTCGTGCGAGATAATGACCGTCGACCGTAATCATTTGCGTGACCCTCCTTCGGAAGTTCCCGATACTAACGTGTCCGATGTTTGCAGCCTTGTTTCAAATACTGTTTTCAATTTCGCATGGATTTGGTATTTCCAAGCTAGCTTTATTTATGTAATTATTTGCTTCATGCAATTTCATTCCGTTGACTGATGCGACAAGTACTTGCGTCAATGCCCAACCTCATGTTGATTTAATCGGACAACTTTAGAAATCCTGGCCAGCTAGAGGTGGGTTGCTGGATTTTTTTTGGAGAGCAGTTGACCATCCAAAAAGAGTTTGGGCTGGGGAGAGGGACTAACCATCCCACTCCGTACACAAACAAAACGGGGCATTCTATAGTGAACATTTATTTTGGAAACGAAGCATCTAACACTACGGATTGCAATTAAATTGCTGCGCGATAAATACTAAACAGGATTACGGATTCGTCTGAGTTACGCGCAGAAGAATATGCTGTAGGGTCAAGAAAAGTGAATGGAGGAAGTTGAATAGTTTGGGATAAGCTACACAATCGCACCGTTTAGTTACGTTCTACGATGGTTGTTTAGAAGACACAAATGTCCCAGAATCTTCATTTGATAACCAATGGACAGGTCAGCTTACTGCACCGAATGTGGGTCGCAGAGAACGAATTAGTTTGCACTGTTGCATGGCGACGGGCTAAGCTTTAAGAGCCCTGTGAAAAAGTCCATATATTTGGGAGTTTCTAATGAGCTTAAACCTGGATATTTCCAAACTGGAATTTGCCGAAGTCGCGGTGACTTAGATGAGTAATGTTATACTTGCAGGTCGAAGACTTTGTTGATACTGCTGCCCGATCGATGATTCTGCGAAATTTTTGAAGATCTTGAGCAAATGGCTTGCAAAATAATAGTAAGAAGCAATAAAATTACGCCTCGTGCTTCGTTTCGGTCGAAGACTTTGTTGATACTGCTGCATCCCCGATGATTCTGCGAAATTTTTGAAGATCTTGAGCAAATGGCTTGCAAAATAATAGTAAGAAGCAATAAAATTACGCCTCGAAGGTGCTTCGTTTCCAGGAATTCCCGGATATGGTTGCCAGGAACATGTGTAACTTTCCTGAGAAATCTGACGGCAAAACACGCCCCTCATCATCTGGAATGAATTACCTATAATATATTACCAACTTTTCGGCACTTCTCTTGTTTAATGCCGTCTGTAGATGTAAAATGTAGAATATATGGCATTGCAGAATGCATCGCGGATAGAAAACGGGTGAAGACAATCTATCTCAAGAACCATCAGTGTAACCACCAGAAAGAGACATGTCATCCGGTTGCAAGGGCAACATTAGAGTTTATGGTCGGTTATGATCGAACGGTAGCCATTCCTGAATACTGGGCCCAATTGCCAGGGAAAGAAGAGACTCTCCTTTACGCGGTGTATTCCCTCCAGAGCACTGTCAATGCGGTAGGTCTGGAAAAGCTAAAATCTGGATTGCGACAAACATTCAATGCTCTCCTATATTTAATCAAACCCTCTTCAATAAAATGAAACTGACGCTTTGGTACTCCTGTGATTTTATTTGCATATTGCTGTGAAAGCACCAGTAATTCGTTCAATGAATTTTATGTAAACATTTGTTTCCCCAACTTATCACAAATTTGGCAAAAGCCCCATGAAGTGATCCTTTCAAACTAAAGAGACATTTCGGGACAGGGTTGCGGTGGTGGTTTGGGAACTCGTTCATCTTCAATACGTTCCCTTTGGACGATTGTTCAAAAATCCGTTGCGTAAAATTACGCGGCAAAAATAAGTTTGCCAAAGCGTAGCTGCCTGTCATGACGTAGATCTTTCCCAGTCGAAAGTAGGCGATGATTGTTCACACTGGCTAATAATTTTAGAATTGTAGTTGTCGCATTGGACAGTCAGGGAATCCGTCACAATGTTTTGATGGATAACTTGAGCAGCTGAAATTACTATGATGAATGAAAAGCCAACCCATATATTCCTATGGACCGATTGCTTGCCGGCTGGAAAAACGGTAATCAACGTAATTCAAAGCATAAATTTTCTGACCATTTACACACTTACCACGTGCGATTCAACGAACACCAGCCAATAGATACCTGGAAAGATGAGCGATTATTAGGAAACCACCAAAGATTTGCAATTTTCGCCACATTCATAGGAGACACCTGATAGATAAACTATGCTAAACTATTCATTTTTTCAGCATATTTTGAGTGAAAATAAGCATGGCAGTCGGGACACATTTATGGGTGTAGAAAATACAGGAAAATACTACCCAGACATACACAGCCTGAGATTTGTTGTCCTAGGTTTCATTCAATCACCAGTGGACACGTAGGCTTGTGTTCCCCAATAGGATCCAGCTTGTCACAGACATGGTTATACTTTCTTATGTCAGCGATCTTCATGCATGTACTAGGCGTGTTTATTTTGTTTAGATGGCCTAAGGGATAGATGAATACGACATGACATCCATCAAACCATCATGCGGATTTGGACAAGCTGGATCACAAAGCTGATCGTCGGTCTTCGAATAGTGTCGAGTCACCGGCACTTCCGTTAGCGAATTCAGCATACGGCTGAAACTAGCAAATTTGCTCAATCACAGTTTGAGCCAATCATTCATGCTTGTGGGCGATTAAGGAAAGGATTTCAAGCCGCGTTCATTCGCGTAACACGATAACAACATTGTCGATTAGACATCCTCATTTTGCAGTCTCCCGATGCGGCTGCTTCAGCCCAGACTGCTCAGTCAGCTTGTAGCCGTAGAATCTCACAAAATGTTCCCGCTTATTTACACTTGGCGCACGTGGATCCGATCTGCTCGATGCTTTTTCTCAACTTGATGTTCTGATTTTACAAATATCCAGTGATACGTACACGGCAGATCCATATCGTCCATCTGGATCGATTGAAACGACTCATCCTTCACGAGGAAATTTTCTAACAGGGCAATAATTTCTTCTCATTCGGACCATAATCCGTGGACACAAGTCCCAACCACATTTGGGCACTTTTGACAAAGTCATCAATGCCCAGTAGGTTTAATTATGTACTGGCCGTTCAGCATTCAGACGAATAACGAATAGGGTCACGTGTATGCTGCATGGCATATGAGTAAATGGTGGAACTTAGTGTGCGGTCCAAATGCTGCATTACTTTATCTGTAGACAACAAATAGGTGAATTTGACTGATTTGATTGGTGCGAACAGACCGCTGGCTTGTATCTGAAATACCGACCGTAGCACTTCGGACTTGTAGTAGGCCAGCACGACGTCTCTTCCCTGCGAGTTGTTGATAATGTTGCTGCTGTCCTGTTCGCCGAGCTTGGCACGTGACTTAGAAACTTTTCGTCACCACAAGAGAGAACATCATCACTGCGTGCTTTGTAAGGTAATCATTACTGTCTGGTATCTCCAAAAATGATTGCCTTGTTGGTTGACAGGATCTTTGTTGAATTTGCCGGTATTTTAGCCGTCTTGGTTGCATTGTGGTTTGCGTTTCTTCAAGTGGACTGGTCATCTTGAATACTTCCGTTTCAGCAATCTTCTCCGTTTCGATTTGCCTCTTTTTCCGTTCGCATTGATGAAACATTTGAGGGCTAATTGCCAAGTTCGGCGGTGATCAATAACCAATAAACTCACCCGGGCTACTAACATTTCGATGCATTCACTTCCCTTTCTACATTTATTATTTTCCTCACAATAAAGCTTTCAAATAAATCATGGTTGCACGGCAGTGAAGCATTGGTTTTGAACACTGATGTCATGATGCCGATGATGATGATAATGCGGTGGTAAAACATTTTTGCACATTTGGAATCACAGAACACGTGCACAAGTATGCACACAGTCAAGCTGTGTATCAAAGAACAAATGCAACTGGTCATATCTCATACCATTTTCAGAAAACAGCTGTTACTCTGATACCAAACGTAGTACCAACCTGTTGAATGGGCCTGGTCAAGGCATACTTACAGAAGGTGATGAATTATCTGAAAAAATGTGTCATCTTTCCTGGTGGCCAGAATTGTTTACCTCGCAAGAGATGCTTACGCCGCGAGAGCATTTATTTTGATATTTTTGCTCTAGTGACTAAGCGCCGTTTTGTGTGTCTGAGTTGAGTCTATATTTTGCAACATATCTGACGCACCATAAGACATCCTCACGCCACACGGCTCAGCAGAAACTTTTCATGAATCCAATCGTAATATAGTTTACTGACTTTAATCGGTCCGCACAAGTTTCATTAATAAAATCTCGTCTGCGCCCTGGCTTCGATGGAAGAAGCCCCTCTAAATGTATATTTTAGAAGATTTCACTCACACATATTTCCGTTTAGCTTTCTTTTTGTCAGATAATCTATGGCTGTTGAAGTTTCATGATTGCATGTGAACTGATATTTTGGAGCACTTTTGAGGGAACGTAAATAGGAGAAACGGAAGTCATGCGGACGAGCGCCTTTATTCAGGTGGCAGCAATGTGGTTAGTCTGAATGTACTGAAACGTGAATTCGCGGGGCAGTATTTTTCTTAGGTTTGTCAACAAATTCGTACTCCATTTCGTTTAGTCATTTTCCGACTAGTTAGATCTACTGTCGGCTGTGCTTGCTCTCTGTGAAATATTTCGCAATTTGTTACGCTGATTCTTCTAGTCTAAGGAGTGAAAATCTTACGATTTGTCATTTGGCTAATTAATATCAGTTTTGCCTGAAAAATGTACCCAAACTCGCGGTGCAAACAACTTGGGATTGCTGAATATATGGCAACAGTTGGAACGTTGCGCTGCGAACATCGAAATATAAGTGCTTTATGGACGCACCCTTAAGTTTGCTCAATAAGTCACCGCCCAAACCTACAAAAATTATCACATGTAAGAAGATCTCGGCAAACTAGTTCAATCAGGCACACATAGCAAGTGATGAAGGCCTCAGCATAAATGGGAAACATCGCGTTGAAGTTTATGTTACATGCATCAGCAGCGAACTGCAACAATTTCGCTCAAATAGCTGTCACGCTAAAATTTTTGAAACGCGTCGTTAACAACAAAATGGGTGTAAGCCGACCCCAGGTTTTTACAACTATTTACTGGGTTTGACAACCTGCCGACCGATAGAGCATTTATTTTGATATGTTTGCTCTAGGAACTAAGAGCGGTTTTGTGTGTCTGAGTTGAGTATATGTTGTGCAACATCTAACAAACATTGGCAACCATATCTGACGCACCATAAGACATCCTCACGCCACACGGCTCAGCAGAAACTTTTCATGAATCCAATCGTAATATAGTTTACTGACTTTAATCGGTCCGCACAAGTTTCATTAATAAAATCTCGTCTGCGCCCTGGCTTCGATGGAAGAAGCCCCTCTAAATGTATATTTTAGAAGATTTCACTCACACATATTTCCGTTTAGCTTTCTTTTTGTCAGATAATCTATGGCTGTTGAAGTTTCATGATTGCATGTGAACTGATATTTTGGAGCACTTTTGAGGGAACGTAAATAGGAGAAACGGAAGTCATGCGGACGAGCGCCTTTATTCAGGTGGCAGCAATGTGGTTAGTCTGAATGTACTGAAACGTGAATTCGCGGGGCAGTATTTTTCTTAGGTTTGTCAACAAATTCGTACTCCATTTCGTTTAGTCATTTTCCGACTAGTTAGATCTACTGTCGGCTGTGCTTGCTCTCTGTGAAATATTTCGCAATTTGTTACGCTGATTCTTCTAGTCTAAGGAGTGAAAATCTTACGATTTGTCATTTGGCTAATTAATATCAGTTTTGCTCAAAAAATGTACCCAAACTCGCGGTGCAAACAACTTGGGATTGCTGAATATATGGCAACAGTTGGAACGTTGCGCTGCGAACATCGAAATATAAGTGCTTTATGGACGCACCCTTAAGTTTGCTCAATAAGTCACCGCCCAAACCTACAAAAATTATCACATGTAAGACGATCTCGGCAAACTAGTTCAATCAGGTACACATAGCAAGTGATGAAGGCCTCAGCATAAATGGGAAACATCGCGTTGAAGTTTATGTTACATGCATCAGCAGCGAACTGCAACAATTTCGCTCAAATAGCTGTCACGCTAAAATTTTTGAAACGCGTCGTTAACAACAAAATGGGTGTAAGCCGACCCCAGGTTTTTACAACTATTTACTGGGTTTGACACCCTGCCGACCGATACACTCTCCCCCTGCACCCAAACTCAATTTTTACAGGATTTACCGAATATTTCAACAGCTGAGAAGGAAGCTACATGGCGTGAAACGTTCAGTTGGAGTGGATAACCACAAACGAGAATTTCAGCTGAATTCAGTTGAAACCCCACAATTGAAGTTTCAGTTGGAGTGGATAACCACAAACGAGAATTTCAGCTGAATTCAGTTGAAACCCCACTCAAAATTGAAGTTTCGTTCATACCATTTAAAGTTTACAACGGTTACCGGTAACCGTAACCAATCACATAGAAACTCATGTGTGCAGTAGTTTCAAAGGGACTGGGCTCAATCGAGAACTGGTGGTNAAGAGAATTGATTAAGTTACAGTGCATTAACACGATGACACACGTGTTCTCTAGCAGAGTCAATTAATGCAGTGGGCATAGGGAATACCTCAAATCGGCTCATAAATATGCCGATTATTCTGCACCACCGCTCATTGCTACACGTCAATTTGCGCGACTTGAAACAAGGCAGCAGCCATTTAAGGATTCCAGTGCACAGAATACAATGACATATTTGTCCTCAATGGCAGCACTGTTCGGCTGAGGATAGCTAAACCTGCGAACGCGGTGTGCGCTGCTATGTTCACATTGGGTGAGGTAATTTTCCATCGGGCCAACTCAGGTGGTTGGTATTTGTCGGCCGGATGACCCGGTCAATTTACGTGGCTTCTCTTCCAAACTGATCTGGTAAAACCCGCCAAGAATATTTCAAATAGGTATGCATTATATCAGTAGCCGCTGCAAAAACGTTCAAACTGTCCCAAATGCGGGTTACAAATACTTTCTAGTTGGAACTGTTTTCAACTCAAATGTTGCTTTTAAATGTGTGGATGCATTTGCACTAGACCTTGTGTTCGAATGCTGTAAATT